ATGCCCCAGGGCCATCTGGTGGGAACAGAGGCTGGGGCTCTGGCTGAGACCCACGGCTTCTCTGGAGGGGAGGGAGGCCAGAAGGGTGGCCCCACCAGCTGTGGGGAGAGCCGGGAGGCAGCCTCCCCTGGGAACCGCGCTGGGCTTGCTGACCATCATCCTGGCTAACTCTTGAGTCTGGGGCACACTGGCCTCAGTCCCTGCCAAAACCTGCTGGTGGATCCCACTGTCTTTGATGTCTCACGACAGTGTGGCAACCGGACGCCAGCTGGTCCGACCCGTCCTCCTCCAGAGTCCCCGCGGCCATTCCTCCTGCAGCCTTAGAGCCAGCAGGCCGGGGTCTTTCCCCGCGGAAGGTGGTGGCCACCCCTCCCCAGCCTTTGTGCCTGTGTGACCCTGAGGGCACCGAGTGTGGGAACGGGGCTGGGGGCCACGGAGCACAAAGGCTGGGGAGGGGCGGGGTCAGTGGCCGTGGCCCCTCTTCCTGTCGGTCCCTGGTCTGGAGTTGGTCATCAGGACAGAGGGAGGGTCTGCAGGCCCAGGGACAGGCCCAGGCACAGGTGCCGCAGCTGGCCCTGGGTTCCAGGCGTGGGTGCTGTGGGGTGGCCGCCCTGGAGTCCTGCTCACCGCCCCAGGCCCTGGGAGCCTTCTGCTTGCATCTCTCCCCTGTCATGGATCAGTCTGGGCTGCTGTCCACTTCTGTCCCAGGGTTCCTGCCCAGCCCTCTTGCCTCCTGGGTGCCTGTGAGGCTGCAGCCCAAGGCCCGGCCTCCCCCAACTGTGGGCTCCTCTCTGGCCCATCTCCCTCCTGGGGATCCTGTAACCAGCACCGCCCAAGAGCTCCCTAAGGCAGGGTCACTGTCCGCAGAGGCCTCCCCTCCCGAGTGCCCACTTCCAGAGGCCAACGTCACTGACTCCCAGGACCCTCCCCCACTTCCACATGGGGCCACAGCCTGCTCCCCAGCACAGCGGAGGGGGACCAGAGGGACAGTAAAAATAGACATTATGCCATGTCAGGGGTTCGTACTTAGGCTTTTTTTTTTTTTTTAACTCATATTTCTTTGATAAAATATTTTCCCATGGTGGACAGCACTGGGAATGTCCTTTTGGCGGATGTTCCTGATGGACAATCCCAGGCCCAGGTCACCAGCTTCAGGGGTCACGATCCTGCCCCCATGTGAGACCCATCAAATCCCTGGTGTGGGCAGGTGGACCATCTCCCTGTCCACTTTGGGCCTCTACCACCTGGCTCTGGCCCTGGCACACTGTCCTCACGGGCAGACGCCCCAGAAGGCACACGCCATGTAGAACGTCCACGCAGCCTGGGGTCAGGGGTGCGAGGGCGAGGCGTGGCCACAGACCCCTGGCCAGGCACCTGGCCAACCCTGGCCTGGGCCTTCTCCCTCCACACGTCTATCCTGTACCCCCATGCACCAGCCCACAGAGTGGCCGGGCGTGCTCTGGGAATGCTGTGTGTGTCAAGTGGGTTTTCCCTCTGGGAATGGCACTAAAATAGCATGAAGAAGGGAAGGAAAATGGAAAGTCAGCCTGGCAGTGGAAGATCTCCAGGGAGGCAGCCTGCTCCAGCCGGGGCCAGGGGTGGCAGAGGCTCTGAGCCGCTCGTCGGGGCTCAGGCCCACCGGAGCATGGGACGGGGCCCTGAAGGCCAAGCACTGCACAGAGGCCCTCCCGGGGTCAGTCCTGAATGTGATGCTCTCTGCTGGTCAGTGGACAGCACCTTCAGATGCCTAAATGGGCTTGCAAGCCAATAGCCCCACAGAGCCCCCTGGAACGCCACAGGAGGACACTGAGCCCCCACGAAACCCTGTGGAATGACACAGAGCCCTGTGGAGCCCCACAGAATGACACGGGATGAAACGGAGCCCCACAGAAACATATAGAACCCCATGGAATGACACGGAGCTTAACAGAACCACATGGAGCCCCACGGAGCCCCATAGAACCCCACAGAAGGACACGGAGCCCCACGGAACAACACAGAGCCCCATGGAGCCCCACGGAATGACACAGAGCCCCACGGAAGCCCACAGAACAACATGGAGCCCACGGAGCCAGGCTCGTCACTGTGTTGAGCCTCAGGCTATCCCCATGGAGTGTCTGTGGGGCACCTCTTCTGTGCCTCTTGGGGTTCGCTACTGGTCCACCCTGCCTGGCCCCGAGAATGGCATCCCCCCACCCCAACACGGAGCTGGGAGTGGGGGAGGCCAGCCATTCCTGGTTGTTGTTCAGGGCGAGTTCCTCAGGTTCAGCTGGGAATGCCATGGTGGAGGGGCTCTGGGAGCACATGGGAGGGAAAGTGGCCGGAGCCTGCCCAGACCTGGGGCTCACACAGCACTGGCATGCACACCTGGGTGTCTGGCCTCAGAACAGGCACTAATTCTACCGGCTTGCCGACCCTGAGTGAGCTCAGCCCTCCTACCCTTCACAGTCGCCTCCCTGGTGACTACGGCTGGGTCTTCTCAGAGACCCCTTCTCTGCCCACCGGGCCCGGTAATGCTAGCGTTTTGGGTCCTTATGCACACTCATGGGCCCAGGGAGGGTCCTGCCCTGGGGCGCAGCCAGAGCACTTTCTTGTAGAGTTGAGCTCTGATGGAGGCCAGGGGCCACCCCAGGACTGGAAGGTTCCCAGGGCCCTTTCTTTTTCTTTCTTTTTTTTCAAAGATTTTATTTATTTATTTGACAGAGAGATCACAAGCAGGCAGAGAGGCAGGCAGAGAGAGAGGGAGGAAGCAGGCTCCCCGCTGAGCAGAGAGCCCGATGCGGGGCTCGATCCCAGGACCCTGAGATCATGACCTGAGCTGAAGGCAAACACCTAACAACTGAGCCATCCAGGCATTCCTGGGCCTTTTCTTGACAGAGGCCAGCAGGTACCGACACACAGCCTCCTACCTGCGCCCCTGCTGGCGGCCCACGTGGTGGACAGCCCCTGCCTGTGGCCACACAGACAGGTCTCTGCCTGGGACCCCACTGCACCCCTCCAGCCCTGTGCGCCTTTTGGTACTAGGGAGGCTGCCTTCTGCATCTGGGCCAGCGCAGCTGCATGGTCCCAAGTTGTGCACCCTGTCTCCATCCTAACCGGCTGGCTTCGTGGGGACACTGCTGGGCAGAGCCCCCAGAGGAGCAGGGAGCTGGGGGCTGAGGCTTCCACTTCCCCAAGCCCCTCCCTAGCCCCGTGCATCTGCCTCCAGACCAGACCCCAGGGAGCCCAGACCCACTGGTTAGGGGCAGGGCCTACAAGCTCGGAGCCCAGCACAGCCTCATGCCGCATTCTGAATCTGGTCACACTCCTCTGCTCTGGTGCCAGCGGGTGCTCTAGACCCAGCAGGTGCTCCCAGGTCTCCCACCTCCCTCCCCGATCGTCAGAGCCCCCGGAATGTGTCCCACCTGCTACGGCCAGAACAGACCCCAGCACCTCCGTACGCCCCACCCCCCACAGGTTCTTTCTGTCCTGGGGTGGCTGAGTGCCCCCTCTCTGGCCTGGGCGCCGGCTGGTCCCCTATCAGGGCGGTGCAGCTCTGTGCCCCGGCCTTTGAGCTGACAGCAGGCAGCCCCCCAGACATCCTCAAGCAGCCGGCATCCTGCCCCTCCTGGCTGGCAGGGCAGGGGGGACTTCAGCCTGCGGGCTGCCAACTGTGGGGCCAGGAGGCACAGCACGCACAGGACAGCCGGGGCCACGAGGCCGGGGCCGCTCTTCCCTGTGCAGGAGGGTGGTGGCCTGATGCCCTCACAGGCCCGAAGGAGGTCAGGCCACTCCACAGCATGAGGCTCCCCGGGCGCCAGTGGGGGTTTCCTCCCAACGACCCAACTTCCTGTTTTCTCAAGAAAACTTAGCAGCAGAGGCTCTGAAAAGCTCATTAAAATGCCTCCCAGGCGTCCCGGACGTCCTGGGGTCTTTACAACACTCGTCGGCTTGAGCACAGACAAAGAGAGGCAGCAGACAAGGTTCCTGTCCTCCCAGAGCTCACTGAAGGGAAAGGCCCCACGGCGCACTTCCCGCCACTGGGTCAGCCGCTGTCCGCTGTCCGTGCGGGCGGGCCGGGGGCCGGGGGATCTGCACAGACTGCTCCTGAGGCCTGGCTCTGGGGGTCCAGGCCCTCTCCCCTCCCTCCCACTCCGCTGCATGCCTGTCCTGGGGGGCACACAGACACCACAGGGGCTGCACATCTCCTGACTCAGCCCTATGGCTTCGGGTGCCACGGTCCTCGCTGGAGGCCGTCCCTCTCCTGCACCATGGACGGGAGGCCCGGCATCCACCGAGCCACCAGGCTTGGGGAGGACGGCGTTCTGTCGTGGCTCCCGCCCCCAAAATATCCTGGGACTAGCCAGCACTCTGCACTGGGAGCCACGGGAGCGTGATAGGACTGACCCCGAGGCCCTCCGTCCGCTGTAGCCATGGAGGCCCCGGCCTGCATCACCTCCCCCTCAGCCGGGTGGCATGCGGAGGAGGGGGCTACAAGAGTGCAGAGCTCCCAGGCGCCCCCTCCCTGGACCGATCAGCAGACGGTACCCAGGCCCCAGACCCCTCCCCGACTTAACCTTGGATATGGCTGCCCTGACATGGCGATTTCTTCACCCAGACCTTTCCAGACATTGAGGCAGACCCAGTGGCCATCTGTGGCCGTGGACATTGCCCTCCGAACATGGGACACCCCCCAGCAGACGCAACTCCATGGGCTCCTTCTCCTTCACCTAGAAGCCTGGCGAGAGGCCAGCCTGGACACGGAGGAAATGCCTGGATGGGACAGGCGTCCCACGTGCGCGGCCCCTTGGCGGTGCCGGCCCCAGGGCTCTGCCGCCGCCTGGCCTCAGTGCGGTGGGAGGAAGAGAAAGAAACGCGGGGTCCTGGTGGCTGCTGCTGGCAGGAACACAAACCCCAAAGCCCGTGGTCTCCGGCTGCTGGCCAGACACGTGCTGGGTCCTGCCCGTCATGGAAGCGGCTCCCCGACAGCCCAAGGCAGGCCCGGGGTGCACAGGACTCACCTGGCAGCGGCTGAAGATGTCGGCAGGGGTGACGCGCACGTTGAAATGCTTGAGCACGGCCTTTGCCCGCTGCTGGGCCCTGAGGGAGCAATCTACCGACACGCAGCGCCCAGCCCCGACCTGGGCCCGGAGCTGAATGAAAGTGGGGCGGTTGGGCTGCAGGCCCAGAACCTCCCCTCCCCCAGCTCAGGGGCCAAGAGCCTCCCCTTAGCCCACCCAGGGTGGGACCGCAGTGTCGGGTCAGCCCCCACAACCGTCTGCCCCATGTAAGACCCCAAGTGGGGGTGGCCCAAGGGCCAGGCTGAGGCTCTCTTGGAAAGAGGAGGCTCAGATGGGAGCCGTCCTCGGGGCCCTCACCTTGTGGTACGGCAGCCCTGAGGTCAAGATGATCCTTCCCTCCTGCCTGGCAACCTGTGCAGGAGGCAGATGGACAGGTGAGGGGCGCTCTGGTGCCGGTGACTAGGGCTGCTTCTGCCCCCGCTGCCCTGTCCTCCCTAGGGGCCTCCCGCCCGTCCCCCAGAGATGCCCCTGTCTGGGACCCGAGGAAACAGCAGGTCCCACAGCCCGAGTCCTGGGGCGTTGCCTTGTTGGAGAGATTTGGTCTTAGAATCCTACAAACATTTTGCATAATTGCAAACAAAATTACAATTTAAAAAGCCATCTCTGAAGATCCAAAGATGAAACAATGAGCGGCACAGAGGGGAGAATTCCGAGGGATGCGAAAGCCCAGCACGGCATTTGCGCGTGTCCAGGTGCCCACCACAGACCGAGGATGCAAACCCTGCAGCGGCACTTCTGGTGGCCACAGTGCTGGCGGCGTCCCTCGGAAGCGCGCACATGGGAGCTGTGACAAAAACAGACGCATTATCCCGGTGCCGGGTGGGGTTTAGCCGGGAGAGGGGGTGTGAGTTCACACTAATGAAATGGGCTTCAGGCCCGAATGGAAGCTTCCCTGTGAATTTCTTACACGTGTAGACTGAGAAGTACTTCATCACTCCGGCGACCGCATGGGCCTAGAGGTAAGAATCCACCCTAGAGCCAGGAGCAGCCTGTGCCCAGACTGGCTTCCATGTAGGGAGGAGGGGGTCAGCACTTTTTTGAGAAACAGCCGATTCCGGGTCTGAGGCAGAAAATGCACCCAATGAAGCTGGAACGTCTTGTCATGTCAGAAAACAAAGAAGTTATCAGAGCCCACAAGTGTCCTAGCAAAGGGGCTCAGGGCGTAATGACAGCTGTCGCGGGCTGCAGGGGCAGAGAAGCTCGGATGTGGTGACAGCAGCCGCGCACGGAAACACCCAACACGGCTCCATCGGTGCATTTGGCTCATTTCTAAACGACTACTGGTTACCTCCGGAGAATGCAAGAGGCCACTCAAAACTGTAAGAGCGGAACTACAAAAATCTTAAAAGAAAACGTGGTGGGGAAATGTCAGCGTTGGGTATGGCAATGATTTCTTGGACATGGCACCCAAAACAGACAACAAAACTAAAAATAGAAAAGTTGGGCTTCATGGAAATAAAGAACTCTTGTACCTCAGAGAGCACCACCAAAACAGTGAGAAGACAGCCCACAGAGTGAGTGAGAATATCTGCAAATCATGTATCTGTTCAGGGATTAATATCCAGAATACATAAAGAACTCCTACAACCCAACAGCAAACAAGCAAATAACCCAGTGAAATGTTGGCGAGGGGCTTAAGCAGACGTTTCTCGGAAGAAGACATACAGATGGCCAACAAGCACACGAGAGGATGTTCAACGTCACTCATCATTAGAGACACGCAAATCAAACCACAGTGAGATACATATTCACACCTGTCAGGATGGCTTTTCTTTTTTTAAGGAAAATAAGTGTTGGGGGGGCGCCTGGGTGGCTCAGTCATTAGGCAGCATCTGCCTTTGGCTCAGGTAATGATCTCAGGGTCCTGGGATCGAGCCCCGCATCGGGCTCCCCGCCCAGTGGGAAGCCTGCTTTTCCCTCTCCTGCTCCCCCTTCTTGTGTTCCCTCTCTCACTGTGTCTCTCTCTGTCAAATAAATAGATAAAATCTTAAAAAAAAAAGAAAAAGAAAAGAAGTATTGGTAAGGATACAGAGAAATGGAGCCCTCGTGCACTGCCAGTTGTAATAAAATGGTATATTTACTTTGGAAAATAGTGGCAGTTTCTCAAAGAGTTGAACATAGATAGAATTACCATATGATCTGGCAATTGCACTTGTAGGCATTTATCCAAAAGAACCGAGAGCAGAACCTCGGACAGACAGTGTGTACCGAGGTGGACGGGGGCATTCCTCACAACAGCCAACAGGTGGAAGGAACCCAGTGCTCCAAGTGGTCATCAACAGACGAATGGGCAAACCCCTGCTCCCAAACACACATGCGCGCGCGCGCACACCCACACACCCACACCCTGGAATTTATTCAGCTTTAAAAATGAAGGAAATTCTGACACATGCCACAGAGCAGATGAACTCTGAAGACGTCACGCTGAGCTCAAGTGTCTAGACACAAAAAGACAAACAACAAGGGATCCCGAGTACATGAAGCACTGGAGAGGCCAGTTTCATAGAGCTAGAAAGTAGGGCGGTGGGTGCTGGGGGCGGGGAGGAGGCGGGTAGAGAGTGATGGTTTAATGGGGATGAAGCCTTTGTTTCGGATGATGAAAAATGTTTGGAGCTAGATAGTGGGCACACAACACTGTGAGCGCCCCTAATGTTACTGAACTACACTCAAATACGGGTAAAATGATACGTTTTGTATCTTTTACTACTAAAAGTAAGAAAGAAACAATAAAGTGGTTACTTTGTAGTGATAACAAACACACGGAGAAGTAAAGGTGAGGAAGTAACCAAACCAGCGACAGTTGAGAGAAAACACGACTCGTCACACAGAAACGACGAAGGCCTGGCGGCAGGCGTCCCAGCAGCAACGATGGATGCCAGCAAACAACGTTATTATTTTCAGAGTTCTGTCAAACTACAATTACAAACCCAGCAACGTTCTCTTTCGGAAGAGAAAAGACAGGGATTTTTCAGGGGAAAACAGCCCCAATGAAAGGACGTAGCAAAAGACGTTCTTTCAGCAAGAAAGAGCCTGGATTTCCTTAGAGCAAGGTCTACTGCGCATACGCACATCTACACAACATAAACTCCAAAAACCATCCAATACGTAAAATGAACATGATAATGTCTAATTTGTAGAATTAAGAAAAACAACATGTGTTAAAACACTAGAAAATGCTAGTAAGTAAGTTGGGAAGGAACAAGAAAGTCGACTTGTTCTGAGCTCCCTGCCCTAACTTTAACTTCAGACAACGGTAAGATTTCTAGGACAATCTCTAAAAGAATGGAAATAGAACTTATAACTTTCAAGTTAATAGAGAGGAAAACATAAAAAGGATAAAGAAACTAAAAGAATAGTAAGAAACAAAGGGAAAAAATAACAGAAGATGTAAAACCAGCAGAGAGCACAAGTCAGGGTTAGTCCAACTGGACCCAGAGTACGTCAGCAGCTACGCTGAGAGTAAACAGACTAAACTAATAATTTGAAAAGCAAATACTGTCAGACTAGACTTTTTCTTACATTCAGCTAGAAGCAGTTTATAAGAAATACATCTAACATACAAGCATAAAGGAAGACTGAAAGTAAAAAGGTGAGGAATGTCATACAAACACGAACCGAAGAATGCTGGAGAAACGAGACCTACGTTGGTTAGAACAGACGGCATAGCAAAAAGCATTATTAGAGTTAAAGAGGTTTACCTCATAATTATAAAATATTTCACTCAACAGGAAGATACAATAATTCTAAAAAATATATGCATAAGCACGTAATAACATATTTTAAAAACATATAAAGCAAATTCTGACACAACTGCAAGACAAACCCACCAACCTAGGGAACTTCAGCATAGAGAATTAAGCAGAAAAATAATCAAACAAGATACAGATGATTTGAAAAACACATTAATTAAGCTTGATCTGTTGAGAGAGAGAGTGTGTGTCTGTGAGAGAGAGAGAGACGGAAATGAGCATAAGAGAATCTCTCTCCTCTTAAAGCCCACGTGGAACATTACAGGGTCATCTGCTTTGCTACAAAGCAAGTCCCCACAAATACCTGAGTGGGTGGTATACAGACTCTGCCCCTTGACCACCCCACAGTTAGGCTAGAAACATATCTTTAAAAAAATAACTAAAAGCTCCAAAACTCGAAGCTCTCTGACATTGGAAGCCAGTTCTCTACGTGCTAAAGAAGTAATTATCACGGGCGCTCAACGATTGTTAGAAGCACAAACTAATACAAGTTCTACATATCAAAACTGACAGAATGCAGGGAAAACAGCATTTCAAGAAAAAAAATTATGATCTTGAATGTTTACATCATAAAAGTAAGAGGCTAAAAATGAAGGAGGTAAGTACTCCGCTGGGAAATAACCCCGGGAAAGCGGAAGGAAGGCGACGAGGATGATGAGAACAGACATGGGTGAGACAGAAGACAGACCAACAGGACACGGACCAGACCCCGGTCTCGCGGAAGCGCGTCTGGGCTGACCAACCGCCGGCCATGGGAAGAGGCGGCACAAGCGTGCACCGGGGCGAGCGCAGATGCAGCTGCGGATGCGGCGGGGCCCCCACGAGGAGCAGCACCATCCGTGCGCATCTGGGACATGGGGTGGGATGGATGCGCTCCAGAAAAAGGCAGAAATTGCCAGAGTGACTCAAGAAGATACGGACAACTGACCAACACTATAATTTTATTAAATGAAAAAGAATCCTCACTAGTCCCTCTCTCCCCTCCAACATCAGGCCAGGGAGCCTTGCAGAACGTCTGGCAGCATCTGAGGAGAAGTCGGTTCAAATATTACCCGAAGTTGCAGAAAAAGGAAAAGCTCAACTTGTTTATAGTGAAGCCAGAAAAGGTGACGATGAGAAAGAACAGTTCCATGTCAGACACCCCCTCAGGTGCCATCCACACCATCCAAAGAAGAACTTGAACCCAGGGGCGCCTGGGGGGCTCAGTGGTTAAAGCCTCTGCCTTCGGCTCAGGTCATGATCCCAGGGTTCTGGGATTGAGCCCCGTATCAGGCTCTCTGCTCAGCGGGGAGCCTGCTTCCCTCTCTCTCTGCCTGCCTCTCTGCCTACTTGTGATTTCTGTCCGTCAAATAAATAAATAAAATCTTTAAAATTTTTTTTTTATTTTTTATAAACATATATTTTTATCCCCAGGGGTACAGGTCTGTGAATTCCCAGGTTTACACACTTCACAGCACTCACCATAGCACATACCCTCCCCAATGTCCATAACCCCACCCCCCTCTCCCCAACCCCCTCCCCCCAACAACCCTCAGTTTGTTTTGTGAGATTAAGAGTCACTTATGGTTTGTCTCCCTCCCAATCCCATCTTGTTTCATTCAT